CCTCTCAATCTTAAACAGTTCCCTTTTATAAAGTACAAATTACTATGAATAGAGACCTTTATTGCAATTTTGAGGTTTGTTTTTTTAAGCTAAACTGAGCAAATGTTATTTTTGCTTTTTAAAGCCTTATTATATTACGGAGGTTCACCAATCAACTGCATTGCATTTTCCACATAGTGCTCTTATCCAAAATAAAATCTAATATATTCTTTGCCTTATGCATATGATTGGGAAATAAATATTATTTTAAACAGTAATGATCAGCTGCTAAGTCATGGCACACTTCAATTTATGGGAATATGAAAGGAAGGTCTCATGAATTTTTGTTAATGGTACTTTATCGATATGTAATTTACTTACAGTAAAATGCATCATTAAGTGTATGCCATGCTGAATTTTGACAAATGTTTATACCTGTGTAGCTATGACCCAGATCAAAATAAAGAATATTTCCATCATCCCTAAGAATTCCCTTGTGCCCAGTCACCCACCTCACTGTGAGGTAAGCCAGGTGTTATTTTTATTACCATAGATTAATGTCTGTCCTTCATGTTCATGTAAATGGAATCATATAGTACATATTCTTTTGTGACTGGCTACTTTTGTTTTGCATAATGTTTTTGGTACTTATCCATTTCTTGTATTCTTTCATTCTTTTTTGTGTGGAGTAGTGTACCCTTATGTGAGCATAATACCAATGTGATTTCTAAATTCTAATTTTTATATAGTTCTACACCCCCAAGTAAATGTAATACCTGTAAAAGTTTCTACCTCTAGAGAAAATTTAGCACATTTTCACCTTTAAACTTAAAGATTTAAGTATAAACTTTAAACCTTAATCTTTAAATCAACTTGCAAATGACTTTTTGTTAGAAAATTATCTGTTTCATCAACTGCTCTTGAGTTTGCGTAAAATACCTTGAGATCTTTGGATTTTATTTATATATTACTACTGCTAACAGCTAACATTCAGTGAATGATTACTAAGTAATAGGCTCTGTGTCAAATTCCTTAAGTGAATTATTCTTTAAGCTCTTAATAAAACCCTATGAAGTAGTCAGTGTTAATTTAGAAATAGGTTTTGCTCGAGGTAACTTGCCCAAGGTCATACAACTAGGAAGGAATGGAAATGGGATTCAAATCCATGTTCCCTTAATCATGTCGCCAGATTCTCTCGCATTCGAATGCTTATTAGAATGGTCCCATATGTGAACATTTGATGTGTCAAATGTGTACTTGATGTTTTTATATCTTTTAATTCTCCCAGTAACTCTAAAAGATATGTTTACAGATCACCTCAGGGCATACTTATGGACACATCTTAAAAATATAGATCTGGGTCTCTGTAAAGAAGCCATAGTTAAGAATATAGACTTTCAAATAGTAAACATTTATTTTTTATGTTTTTAAAATTTGTGGTTTGCTCCTATGTTGCTTAAAATGGAGGGAAGGGGACAAGTGGGCTTCAAGGGTCAAATGCCAAGATCTAAAACGTATAATACATTTGGTACAAATTAAAATTATTCAGACTCTAATCTGATTAGAATGAGTCAATCTTGAAAGAATTATAGTGGAAACTGAAATACAAATAAAATTATATTTCTTTCATCCCCATGAATTTTTTGACAATAAATCCTGCACACAGACATAAGATGTCTTTTCCCAGAAAAAGTAGAAACATATTAATTCCTAGATGGTGGTATTCCAAAGTCATTGGACATGAAAGGTTATAGGGGTTTTAGAATCTGGCAAAGGAAGTTAGTTACAGTCTTATGGCTCTACGTGAGACCCAATGGTAGTCAATTTCAAATAAAGGTCACGGTTAGAAAGTTTTATAACACTTAAGCATTAACTTGAATAGATTGTGTTAAGTAGGGAAGGTCCACTGAGAATCAAATTTCCCAATTGTGTCAGGTAATTGTAATTCTTTAGATTTTATAAGACCATATGACTCTTGAAAAATACTATTATCATGTGTTTTCTATGAGCCCATTTTTATGAACAAAATTTGGAATAAAGAATGATGTGATTACTTTCCTCCCTGAACTATGTTAATAAGAAGCCTCCTTGTTGAGACCCTGAGGCTGTTTGTGGCTCTGGCTCTGCAGTTCACTGGGGGGCATCTCCTCTGATTTGCAAACCAGATTCTGTGGAGCTCAGGCATGTTAATTTTGCAAACTAATATTCACATGAGAGTGATACACTCATGTTTGTACCAGGATAATAAAGAGTCTTCAGTTTCATTAGCAGAGAAGCAGGAAGTCGTTGATTCTAAGCGAGTGCCTGAGAGAACCAACCAAGAACGTGAGGGAGAGCTGTCAAAGATGATTTCCTGATGGAGGTCCATGGATGCTGGTGAGATGTAGGACGACCCGCGGTTCTGCAATTCATGATGTTATATTCAGTTCTAGACACTGAGTCAAATGAGTTGTTAATATAAACAAGTCCTCACATTTGAAGAATTCTTTGTCATTTATTTTGTCACAGCCAGCTCCTTTAACATTTTCATATATATTTTTTCCTTGGATTAAAAACACCAAGGCAGTTCCTTTACAACCCTTTCTTCTCAATGGTGGAATGTAAGCAAATCAATATCTAACGGTCTTTTGTGCAAACCTCAGTAAATAATAGATTTTGTTTTGCCACTGTAGAAAACAAAATCTAAAAACCTTATGCATTTAGAAGCTGGGAGAGGAAGACTAGTAGCAAAATTATTAGCAAATTAAAATAGAAATGACAATAATATTACTGGCTCCATAAAAAGCCTGTGAAATCAACTATTGATGTTTTTTTTAAAAAGGGTGTTGCTCTCTGATTTAGGGTGGCAGATGCAAAAAATATAATGCAAGCAGTATATCTCTCTGTGGTTTCTTTGTAATTTCCCAGTTCTTGGGCATTTGGGGATATATATATATAGATGTGAGTAACTGAACTTAAGAAGAATAATCCTCCAAATTTATTGATCTAAGATATATTTTGCATGAATACACTTAGGTGTGAATATGTTTGGTTTGAGTTAGCATAAATAAGTAAAAGGAAGTTCTTCCATCTTTGAGCCTTGTAAATATAAATTTCCACTTCTCCTTTTATTATTGTATTGAACTACTAGTTTCTTCAACTAGGCAAATGATTGTTTATAGTGAAAGCTAGGGATTGGAAGCATGGCAAGGGTCATATATATGGTATGGTATTGCCACCTCTAAGGCTTGCAGAAATTAAGTGCACTGTAGATGAATAATCAAATATAGTCCCAAGAATATAACTACTTCACTATTAGCTATTAGGAAATGGTCTAGCTATGTGTAGGTAGTGGTGTATATATAATTATGTAAATACCTACTTGAAATCTTCCTAAATCACTTTGTTTTTGATAAAATTTTTGAAAAACTTTTGGGAATGTTATGGAATCCATTTGTTTATGCTTCAAGCAAAGTTATGCATGGTAACAACATCATCGAATCATATCGTATTTGATACTGTACTACTTGGTATAGTTTTGCCAGGATTTTTTTTATTAGAGTATGAGCAAATTTCTAAAGAATTCCAAATATGTAGATAATTTATCCACATGCATTAGGTTTGAGAAATACCTATTTCTAAATGATAGAAAGCACAAATCCCTTTCTGTATACGGGTGAGGACAGTTTGTAAATCAAAGACCATAACAGTTACTTCTTCAGAAATCCTCTCAAGAATATCACTCCCTCATGAACTCCTCATAGGAATGTAAATTGGTACAGCCACCATGAAAAATAGTATGGAGACTTCTCAAAAAATTAGCAGTAAAGGGGTGCCTGGCTGGCTTGGTCAGCATAACATGCAGCTCCTGATTTCAGATTGAGTTCAAGCCCCCTATTGGATGTAGCACTTTAAAAAAACAAAAAATGGGGCACCTGTGTGGTGGAAATTTATAGTCAGTTAAGCGTCCGACTTTGGCTCAGGTCATGAACTTGCGGTTTGTGGATTCGAGCCCCGCATCAGACTCTGTACTGACAGCTAGCTCAGAGCCTGGAGCCTGTCTTCAGATTCTGTATGTATCTCCGTCTCTCTCTGACCCTCTCCTGTTCACGCTGTCTCTCTTTCTCTCTCAAAAATAAGTAAAACATTAAAAAGTTAAAAAAAAATTAAAAATGAAAACACCAGATGATTTAGTATTTCCATTACTAGGTATTTACCCAAAGAAAAAAAGATACTAATTTGGATAGATATATACACCCCTTTGTTTATTGCAGAATTATTTATAATAGCCAAGATAAGGAAACAACCTACGTGTCCATTGATAGATGAACGGATAAAAAAGATGTGTGCGTACACACACACACACACACACACACACCCACTGGAATATTAGCCATAAAAAAGAGTGAGATCTTGTCATTTGTGACAACATGGATGGATCTAAAGGGTATAATGCTAAATGAAAGAAGTCACACTGAGAAAGACAAATATCATATGATTTATTTCACTTATATGTGGGATCTAAAAAACAAAACAAAAACAGAAATGGACCCATAAATACAGAGAACAAAGTGGTTGTTGCTGGGGGTTGGGGAGTGGGGGTTGGGATGGGCAGGAGGGATGAAGGGGAGTGAGAGGTATGGCCATCCAGTTATGGGATAAATAAGTTGCAAGGATAAAAGATGCAATATAAGGAATATGGTTAATAGTATTCTAACAGTGTTGTGTGGTGACAGATGGTAGTTACACTTACAGCGAGCATAGCGTAATGTATAGATTTGTGGAATCAGGATGTTGTATACCGGAAACTAATGTAACATGTGTCAACTATATTTTAATAGAAAGAATATCTCTTGGAAAAATTTGAAAAAAATTCAGTATGAAATGAAGCAACTATACAATAAAACTAGATAACTTTCCATTTTTAAAAATTGGGAATACAAAACCACCAAATTTGGATCTAATCTTACTAAAAAATGTGAATGAACAAAAGAAAGCTCGTGTTGAATGTTTGCTTACAGCTAAAATGTTGTATTTTTCAGAACGCTGCAAGTGTAAGCCTATTAGAGCTACACAGAAGACCTATTTCCGAAACAATTACAACTATGGTAAGGATAACTGCAGTGCTAAGAAAGTTGTGTGTGTGTGTGTGTGTGTGTGTGTATGTGTGTGTGAGAGAGAGAGAGAGAGAGAGAGGGAGGGAGGGAGGGGGAGAGGGAGAGAGACAGAGAGAGGGAGAGGGAGGGAGAATTAGAGCAGTTTAAGGATAAGGCTTAAAACCAAACAAGGACAACTTTTAAGCACATAGTCACCTGTTCCAAACGAGTAAAATGTCTAATGGGCAAAATTCTTGACCAATGCTTGTTTTTGAAACATATTAGGCAGCACTGCTGGCATCCTAGAACCACATAGTTAAGTACGCAGAGCTGCATTTCAAACTAGATGGGAGGGACTCTTCCTCTCTGAGATCCTGAGGAGGATTTGAGCTTGAATGTTTGGGGCTGCATGCATGGGTTTTCAGTTGTGCTTCTCAGCCTCACTGGGGTGGACAGAGGAGCATTTTGATGCTAAGGGTTGGATGGTTAGCAGAGGACAGCTTGGTTTCTCCAATCAGTCTGTCTCACGGAACACATTGACAGAGTCGGAAAGTAACATAGAAGTTGTTAGTATTCAATTGAGGAAATGTTTTATTGTCCAGTTTGACATCGAAATGTGACATTTTGACAAAATATTAATCTAAGAACCACCGATCTAAAGGGAGCCAACAGATTTAGCTGCAGGAGGAAAAAGCCTCCTGTCTTTGTACCAGGTACTGTGCCGGGTGGTTTCCATACACTGTCTTTTATCGTTTCCTCAACTGCTCCGTGAGATGTATTACTATCCTAATTTTATCAGCGATTATTGAATCTAAGTTGTCCTTTTTAAAATTATTTAGAATGTACTTTTGGGTACTGGCATACTTCATGGTGATAAATATCACTTATTCTTATATTCAGAAAACTCAGTTTTCCAGTTGATAAAGTAAGGGACAAATCAACATTTGCTGTAATCCATAGGCATTTTATAGTGATTTTTCCCCGAGCATCTATGAGATTAATAAAGGTCATGTGACTCCCTCTGAAGAAGATTGTCGATGTCGAGTCAATGAATAAACATGACTACTAAATAGATTTTTAAAGGAAACTTTTATTAAAATGAGAATTTTATTATCAAATTTACAGGACTTATTTTAGAGGACCTAAGACATATAGCAGATTTATTTCTGTCCTGTTGGGAGTTGGGAGGAGAGAAATTGGTAAGACTCTGTAAGAGTAAGCTTTGGTATCTATAAAAATATCATATATTAAAAGGTATAAGATAGAAAATTCGCAGGCACATAAATCTCTGAAATGCACTAGTTTTACAAGTTTTTCTTCAGTGGAATCAATTTTCATTTTTTATTAACTACTCATTTTATTAAAAAATTTTAAATATTTATTTAGTTTTGAGAGAGAGAGAGCACACAAGTGGGGCAAGGGTAGAGAGAGAAAGGGAGACCAAGAATCTGAAACAGGATCCAGGCTCTGAGCTGTCAGCACAGAACCTGAATGTGGGGATTGAACTCATGAGCCATGAGATCATGACCCGAGCCAAAGTCTGACACTTAACCAACTGAGGCACCCCCGCTTACTACTCATCTTTAGAGGAATCTGATTTCTCTTAGCCAATGGTGGCTTTCAAGGTTGAAAGGTCATGTTTTTCTGAGAAGTCAAATTCCTGGCTGCTCATTGGAGGACCCATTCTTCTAAAACCCGATATGAAAAATCACAGGGAAATGGAGGTCTTGATTTTTAGGAGATTAGTTTTTCAAGATTGAAAAATGTTATATGGACTTTAAGTATAGTTACACTTAAAAAAGCATAATAAAAAATGGTATTTCAAGGAAATTTAGTTTACTTGGTATTTATTTTTTTATTATTGTTTTTTACTTTTTCTTACTACTGAAACTGTTGATTCTGCTGATTTGATTAAAAGTTAAATTACTAGTGGTTACAAGTCATGAAAAGAGGATTTTTGACACAGTAGCTGAGGGAATATTATAATGTAAAATGGAATACAGATCACAGTTAATGGGAAGGAGATCATTTCTTTCTCATAGCCAAACAATAACCAGGTTGCCCAAAGTTGAAGGATTTTCATGTTTCTGTGGTTTAACTTAGAACGTCTTTGGGGGAAGGCAGGCACTCAAATGATTAGATAGAAGGAAGAATTCTGAACAGAAAATGCAGTTTAAATTCTAAAATCTGTTGATTTTTATCACAACTATTTGCCTGTGTCTAATGAGAAAACAAAGTTGGGACGGGAGTGCTTCATTCAGATTAATTCAGTAAAAGCTCTTGAGCTTTAACAAAATTACTTGAATAATAAAGTAAGTCTTGTAGAGAGATATTTATTTTGGAGTGGGTACATGTGCTAAAAATTTCTAATGAAAATATTAGACACACTGGGTAAATAAATCATTAGTTTGAGAACATTTGCACAGTTTGCTAATCTCTAAGGGTTGATGGATGCTATGAAGTATATTTACATAAACCAGGACACAAAAAAATGCCTGCTAGCTGGGCTTGTCAATTTATCAACTGATTCTCCCAAATGACATTTCAAAAAGGGCAGTCTTATTTTTTGGTAAAATACAGACTAGAGAGAACACTAATAAGGCATTTCTTAACTCACAAGCTGTACCAAGCAGGAACAGCTGGGTAGTTACATTTTGTTTGCTGTAAGTTCTCATAGTTTCTCCAGAAATGGAAATACCTGAGGAGCAAAATGAGATTTTGTCCTAAAGTTTTTCAAATTCACAATTTAATTTCTATCATACATATGTTGTACTGGTGGAATGTTATTGAATGTTTCCATATAGACTTGAGGCATTGATGGGGAGAATGGTTTATTAGCTAGCTTTATGTTTTTATGGATTACTTTTTTTCCATTCCTTTGTAGCTCAAAAGACCTAAAATACATGGGATGGGACTCAGATGAAAGTGGTTTGCATATCTGTTCCTAAGAGGCTTTCAAAAATTGGATATATTGTGTCTTCCTCCATATGACATCCCTGGATATTGAACTAGAGCAGCCAGGGAGCCTCGTCAAAAGCCATTGGCTTCTTACTAATTGACATTTTTACTTCCTTGTAGGTTTTTCAAATTCCCCCTTCCAAAAAAAAAAAAAAAAAGTTAACTCATTTATCAGAAGGAGGAATCTAAAAAATTTGGCTCTTCCAAAGGACAGAATACACAGATTAGAAACAGAACTGTGCTTTCCAGATTCTGAGACAAATACTTTGACTTTGCAGCAGAATTGGTTATTTTTACAGCAGTTCATCTTTATGTTGAGGAGTGAAGCTGGCTCTTGTGAGATAAATCGGGTGCCAGCGTTTCCACTGAGAGAGGTAGATTAACGCAATTGACACATTAGACCATTGTCTATACCACATGAGAGGAAGAAATGTTGGAGTGTCTGACTTCAAAGCAGATGGAGGAAATAATCTAGTGGTAGCAGTTTTTATTTTAAAAAAAGTGTATGCTCACAGGAAAATATAAAAGTTAATTTGTACTGAAACGAAGGAGAAGAAATGAGCTGATGTCTAAAGAGTCACTAACGTAAGGAAAGGTGGAAATATGGTGGAAGCAGTTGGGGAACACTGTAGAACAGGACATGAAAGCACCAAAGACCCCAACTCTTTAGAAAAATCTATTAATAGATCTGATAGAAGAATACTGACAAGTAAACAGAGCATATTCAAGTACTAGGTCTTTACATATAGTGAAATTAATATAAACTTCTGTTGATAGCAATCAAAGCTACAGACATGGACACATTCAAAATAAAAATTTTGGAGGAAAATCACATCAGATTCACTCAATCTTTGATTACCTAAATGGATTTTTCCTTATGAGATACATGTATGCACACATGTACACATGTATATGTGTATACACAAATGTATGCATGTGTGTATGTACACATACACAAATATATAGGGACAAACAAATTGGAAGGGGATCAGGGCTGAACATTAAAGGGGGCAGGTGTATAGTGTGTCATTCACTATTGTCTAAGACAAACATATCTGATTGACTTTTCCTCTCCATTCATTGAGCACGAAGTGGATACAAATTGACTAGAAAGCTCACCTGTCTTTTTTGAATGGGACATCTATTGTGTATCATATTACCATATTGACTTTATTTTCTTTTATCCAGTTATTCGGGCTAAAGTTAAAGAAGTTAAGACCAAGTGCCATGATGTGACTGTAGTAGTTGAGGTGAAGGAGATTCTAAAGGCTTCTCTGGTAAACATTCCAAAAGAAAGCATTAACCTTTACACCAGCTCTGGCTGCCTGTGTCCTCCACTTAATGTTAATGAAGAGTATATCATCATGGGCTATGAAGATGAGGAACGCTCTAGGTAATTCACTCCTTAAAGATTCAGAATAATTGCTATACCTATCATTTCTTTATTTCATTTCTCTTGAGATCTTACTCTGGAGTTCTTACCTGGGGATCTGGCTAACTCTTAGGGGATTACAGATAGGTTTTAGTTGGGCCCCTCAATATTATGTATTGGGTAGAAAAGTGTATGTGTGCAATTAGTGGGTGTGCATTTTTCTAGGGGGAGGGATCATAACATCATTTCTTCTTAAAGGAGTCTCTGACTCCCTAATTGTTAAGAATTGCTATTCTGAAACCTGACTGTCCTATTGTAGAATAAACAGTAAGTGTTTCTTAGCAATGATTTCTTGCATTTTTCAGTAATATCTTTTAATTTTTCAAAAATGGTTGCTTCTTTAAAAAATACAGATTACTGTTGGTGGAAGGTTCTATTGCTGAGAAATGGAAGGATCGACTCGGTAAAAAAGTTAAGGTAAGCCTATACTTTATGTTCAAAGTGATACATAAAAAATAAAAGTAGAAAACCAGACATTTGGCATTTAAACAAAATAGCTGCCCTCTTAACAGCATGAAAAAGTTTAAAACCTGATCTGTGTGTGTGTGTGTGTGTGTGTGTGTGTGTGTGTGTATCTCAAATTCTAAGGACTGAGTTTGTCTTTAATGTCAATTTCATTTAAGGAATGAATTCTCTATAAGTGTATCAGAGGTTTAACTACAGTTGCCTAGCTTCACACAATGGGAAGTCTAGCTATGGTTAATCCAGTCCTGGCTGGGTAGCTCCACATTATCATTAGGGCTCCAGCTCCTTCTAGCTTACTGTTCTGCTGTTTTTAAGGGATTGCTTCCATGCTCGTGTTCACTTGGAGGTCACAAAATGGCTTCCCACTCCAGCATCACACCTATGTTTCAGGGAGAAAAAAAGGAGGTATAAAGGAGTTTCCAAGTGCCCCACCTAGCAATTTTTACTTAGGCCTTAGTTTCATATCTATTTCTAGCTGCACAAGGGACTGGAAAATGCAGTTTTTTACCTGGGCATATTGCTTCCTTGAACAAATTGCAGTTCTGGGAGTAAAAGAAGAAGGGGAGAATAAAGGATGGGTAGGAAGCTACTGATGTTGTGACAGTTCACAGACACCAATTCTTCTGTATGAAATGCAGTCATGTTCATCTATGAATAAGAGATCTTACCAAATTAGGTCCTTAGAGTGGTAACGTAACTTTGTTTTTAAGCCAGTAATTCTTAGATCCTGGAAGTGATGCATTTAAAAAGTCACAATAGGGGCACCTGGGTGTCTCAGTCAGTTGAGTCTCTGACTCTGGATTTTGGCTCAGTCATGATCTCATGGTTCATGAGATTGAGCCCCACATCAGGCTTTGTGCTTATAGAACAGAGCCTGCTTGGGATTCTCTCTATTTCTGCCTGTCCCCTACTCGTGCTCTCTCTCTCTCTCAAATAAATAAACTTTAAAAAGGTTAGAAGGGGGGTGCCTGGGTGGCTTAGTCGGTTGAGCATCTGACTTGCGCTTAGCTCATGATCTCGCGGTTCGTGGGTTCGAGCCCCGCGGCGGGCTCTGTGCTGACTGCCTGCTCAGAGCCTGGAGCCTGTTTCACAGTCTGTGACTCCCTCTCTCTCTGACCCTCCCCAGCTCACGCTGTCTCTCTCTCTCTCTCTCTTAGAAATAAATAAAACATTAAAAAAATAAAAAATAAAGGTTAGAAGGTTTTATTTTTTTCTTACTATACTAAGCAAATCTGTTCCAAAGAAAGGAATGTATGCACAGATTGGCAAAGAATTCAAAAGGGTGGTGTGTGGGGGGGGGGGGGCAGGGAGAAAGAAAGAGTGGGAATTGTACCAAACATAATACATCTCTTCCTTCTGTGAGTTTGAAGGCTTGGGAAACATTTAAAGGGTAAGCTAAACACCCCTGGGCAGTTTATCTTATACATCTGGCACTTGACACAGCAGACACATTTGAGTTGAAGTGACCTACAAAAATGTAAGGGCATTATTTTGCAGGGAGAGCTACCCTTCATTAAGTTCTTTTTTTTCCTGGTCTATTTGTCAAAAGTGAGATGTATTTCTAGCTCATACCTGTGGGAATTCTCCATTTGTATCTCTTTTCAATTACTTTGGTGTTTATTAAAAAGTGGCTCTTCTTCAGTAAGTTGGAATCTTTCACTGTCCTTTTAATTTGGTTTTCTGCTTGCTAATGCAGAATAGGAATTTGTCCTAAATTCCAGTACCGGTTGGAAGAGCTTTCAACATCCCTGCTGCAAAGCCTGTAACGAGGCTTGCTTGCTGCTTCTCTTTTGGTACCAAAACAATTACCATCAAGTGAAGACCCAGGACACATGGCTTGTTTATCCTTTCTTAGGCAAATATTTTCCATTGCTTTCTACAGGGCACTCACAGAGTTATTGTGAAATCCTTTATATCTCAGTCTAGATTTAAACATGCTAAAGGGAAGAATTAAACCAATAATGTGAATGATTTTAAGTTTATTTATTTTGAGAGAGAGCAAGGAGGGAGAGTCTGGGACAGAGGATCTGAAGCAGGCTCTGTGCTGACAGCGAGCCTGATGTGGGGCTCGAACTCATGAACTGTGAGATTATGACCTGAGCTGAAGTCAGACATTTAACCGACTGAGCCACCTAGGGACCCCAACAATTTTAACTGATATGCAGATACTCATGGCTAAAGATCTTGGGTAAAAAATCTCTTTTGGCTAGAATAATTGAGATCCTTAGTTTAGTTTTCCAGTCAATTTGAGGATGTAGAAAAGAGTTTTATGGAGGATAGTTTTTTTTTTCAAGTAAGAGTTACCATTTTCAACTGATTTTCCCCCCTTTTTTTGCTTAATGAATAGAATAAGAACAAAGTAAAGACTTTCTTTTGATTTTTGCCATGCAGATGGTTGTCTACCTAAGTCTCTGTTATAGCAGGTTGTTCGAATCAAAATATTTGGTCTGCCTTGGGCAGCTGAGAATCAGACTGTTTTTTAATATGAAAAACAATAAGATTGTAAATTTATGCTAAAATGAAGAATGACTTTCAGTAATTGAAAAAAAATGATAATTATGTACTAAGCCCTTCATATATTTTTCATTTGCTAATCTTCAGAATAGTCTTATAAGTATATTCTTTTATTAATTCCAATGTGTTAATGATGAAAATGAGGTTTAATACATTTAAGAAACTATGCATGGTAACTGATAGAGGTAGAATTTGGACTTGGGCCATCTGATATTAGCTCCTTGCTGCTCAAAGTGTGGTCTTTGGACCAGCAACATTGGCATCACCTGGGAGCTTGCTAGGGATGAAGATCTTGGGCCCCAGCCCAGACCTACTGAATGAGAATCTGAAATAATGTCTCTGGGTGATTTGAGAACTAGTGCTGTGGTCCTTAGTCACGACCTTTAATACCCATAATATAACTTCCTTTTAATTTATTATATTACATGTAAACACTATTGGTAGTGTTATTATGCAATATTAGTGAACTTGATTGTGGTTATTAGAAACATCGGTAATGTCTGCTTTGTAAAACAGAGTGCAGTGCAGGAACTTGTCTGTTGTGATTGTCACACTTGGTTGATATTACTTGGAAATATATTTTTAAGAGATCTCATTTGCCCCCAAATTTCCATTTTTTACACTGCTTAAATCACATATGTTTTAAAAGGCTGTGTTCTGATGTATTGTAAAAGAAGAAGATGAAGAAGAATAGCCCTTCAAAATCTCTGTGTAAATCTTCCATCTGTTGATCCTCTGTGTAGTGCCAGACTCATGTATGTTAGCTCCGGAAATACCCACAGGTTTTGATCGATATTTTTGTCACCATTTGACATGGAAATTTTAAGTTTAAGGTTTGATATGAAAACATACCTGATATATTATAGGTGGCCAATTTGGTGCTTTTTATGATCAGAGAACTATGTTCATGTAGCATCAATTTTCTTATCCTGGGATATGAATTTTATACTTTTGGAAAATGCTTTTGAGTTCTGACTTTGTGGTCATACTTAGTTGTTAGAATAATAGACATGATGATGACCCTGGTGATACATGCATGTGAGCATTTTCCGTTTTGAATTTCACAGCGCTGGGATATGAAGCTCCGCCATCTTGGACTCAATAAAACTGATTCAAGTACTAGTGATTCCACTCAGAGTCAGAAATCTGGCAAGAGCTCCAACCCCCGGCAAGCACGCAACTAAATCCTGAAATGCAGACAGAACACCAGTGGACTTCCTATTAAGACTTGCATTGCTGGACTAGCAAAGGAAAATTGCACTATTGCACGTCATACTCTATTTTTTTACCACAAAAATCATGTGGTAACTGATATTCCTTCTATTTTCTCTTTCGTGTTCTGTTTTTCTCTTCTCTTTTTTTTTTTTTTTTTTGTGGTCTGAGTGCAGCTCCTTAAATGTATGTATTCTGTTTCACTAATTCTGGGAAAACTGTTCTTTGCAATAATAATAAATTAAACATGTTGATGCCAGGGCCTTTTTGCTGGAGTAAATGTTAATTTGCTGTTCTGCACCCAGATTGGGAATGCAATATCAGATGCAAAGAGAGATTTCTGGTATACGCAGAGCGCTAGATAGGCTGTAAAACATAGTCTGCTCATCTAATTACAGGCTCATTTCCACATGCCTTTTGGGCATTCTCCTCATGCTTAAAAGTTCTGAATGTTTATAAAGGTAAAATGGCAGTTTGAAATCAGATGCCACACAGGCAAAGCAATCAAGCACCAGGAAATATTTATGAGGAAACGACACACAAGATAAATTATTTGCGAGATTGGCAGGAAGCAAAATAAATAGTGCTAGGAGCTGAGGAAGGAACATTTTGCTGATTGAGAAGCACAGCTGAAACCAGTAGCTATTGGGAGGTTAACAGTAACATTTTTCTTCTGGCAATACATTTGGTTTGTTTGTGAATATATTGATCAGCATTAGGGAAGTGAATTGTAACTAGACATCTGCTGTTATCAGTGTAGCTCTGTTAAGTTTGCTTCCCGTTAAACAAACCCATCGGTGTAAGTTTTTTTCATCTTTTAAAATAAATCTTGACTTGCTGCATTGACCAGGAAAAGAAAGCATGTATGCACGTGCACCAGGGTGTTATTTTTGAAAGACACATAGCTCTGTAAAACGCTATAGTTTGCAGCATGGTAAAATGTGCAAGGGTGTGCATGTGTGTTTGTGCAGTCACACCCAAACTGGACTGAATTACAGGCGTGTACTTGTTCATTTGGATTTGTGCTGTTTAACACTCAGTAAAATATGCCTAATAAAAGGAATAACAGTTGTTAGGAGAGAGATTATTCTTTTAATATTTTTATTTATTTTTGAAAGAGCATGCAGGCAAGGGAGGGACAGAGAGGAAGGCAGAGCATCCGAAGCAGGCTCTGTTCTGACGGCAAAGAGCCCTACACAAGGCTCTGACTCCTGAATCGTGAGATCATGACCTGAGCTGAACTCTGACGCTTAGCCAACTGAGCCACCCAGGTGCCCCAGGAGAGAGGTTATTCTGACTTTTAAACCAAGTGCACAACCTTGCTACCCAAACTGCAGTGTTCCCAGAGACCTTTGGGAATAACTGATGCTCTTCCTTCCTTCCTCCGACAAGTTCTTCAGAGCTTGTGCCAATTACTTAGAAGTCTCATTCCCTTCAATTTACATGTTTGATATGAGTAGAGCTAAATTTCCAAGCTATGGTATGCTGAAAATAAAACATTTATGAAGCAAAATGGTGCTGTGCTTCCTTCTACAAGGACAATCATGCAGGAATGAAATTCAGTCCAGAACAAACATTTGCCCAAAGAGTCAATAATAATTCCTTTAAATTCTCTCTTTTGAAAGTAAGCGAACATCTCGACCTTCTGGCTGATGTCCAAGCCCCTATAGTTTCTGGAATCGCAGAATAAAGAGTTCCCATCTTTGCCTCCATGAAGACTGCATGCTCCTTTGAGCTGCTGTGTGGTTGCTATCAGGTATTTTGTCTACCTGCCCCTTGGGCTTTATTCTCAGATGGCTGACACAGGTGCATCTCTTTCTAGATGCTGCTGTTACAGCCGTTAGAAGGTGAGTTTGGGTGTCACAGGGCAGTAGTGAAGTGCCGCAAGGGAAGAACTGCGCCTTGGGATCTGTCGTCCTGATGTTGATGCCCCAACTTGAGCTTCAAGATTGAGGACTGGAAAGTGGAGCTTCTGCACTGTCCCGCGTTCCTCATCTTTCATGTTCATTGCGAGAAGGAGGGCAAGAATGGACTGTAGGAGATTTAAAAGAATTGATTTCTCAAATTCACAAAATGTCGTCATTTATTCCAAAGCACAGTGTGATGAACTATTTTGAGGTACAACTGAAGCCACAGATGTGTCCAGGCACCTGCAGTGTTTTGTTCCGGGAAGGGGGACAGCGGTGGCGGTAATGATCAGCTTCTGTGTAGAGATGTGACACAATTTATGCGCAGTACATGGACAATTATGTTCATAAACAAAAGAGAACTAGATTTTGGGATTCAACTGTGTGCTTTGCCACCTTCCCTCCAGCGATCTGCACTGGCGATGCCTGATTTTGTTTTTCTGTGTGGGGCTCTGTCAGTTAAAGTTTCTAATGGTATGAGGTCCATGAAAAAAATACTTCTGGCATTCAGTTTGATAGTTGGAATATCTTCATTAATTATGTGCAAGCCTCTTTTGGGAGATAACATGTTTTTTTCATGGTGCTCATATTACTAATCAGACTGCAAAATCATTTCTCATCTGCCATTGCCATAATGCAAATGCACCTTATTAGTGTCTCTCTCTACAGGCTTTTCTGACAGGTTCTAACTTTGAAAGCCACTGAAATTTTAATCTATATGTGTCCTTGTTGACCTTGAGATCTATAAAATTCATTTAAAATTTCTTTGAAAACGTTTGTTCACCTTCAGGATTTTAATTTCCCCAGCCAAGTCACAGCAACAAAATGTTAGATGCATGCTAAATAGCAAAAATTAAAATAACAGCAAACTCGGAGTCTCTTCACAGATATGTGAGTATTTTACTGTGTCACGTACAGAGTGTAATCTGACTCGGTGCCATATGTTGCACCGAGCATTGGGGGGTGGGGTGGGACCGATCCATGGCTCTCCACATCTGTTATGTATTAAGAAGGCAAATACAAAAATTACAATCACTGTGAGTAAATAGCACTACTTATTGCCTTCTGCAAGAAATTACTTGCTATTATTTTTTCAACAAGTAAAATGACAAAAAAAGTATTCCAAGATTGGTATTTAGAGTTTTAGTATTTAGTATGAGCTTTCAAGAATATGGCAAAAATGAGATAAAGCAGGAATATCTAATACTGTCACTGAAATCTAACTGATAGCATTTTTGAATATGGTTCCCAGCTGTATTAATAACAAAACAATGGTATAGTCGTAACTTTTGATAGTTATCTCTTTGGCTACTAATATCTGATGGTGGCTGGAGCTCTATACAAAATATCTGCATGCATTATAACTTCATGTAACCCTTGAAAGCCTGTGAAGTAAACTTTCACAGACTCCATTTTATAGATGAAGAAATTAAGTTATGCAAGGAGTGGAGCTGGGCCTCAGACCCTCTTATTTTTATTTCCCAAGTTATATGTTTTCAACCATTGGAAATGCTGATAAAAAGATCAACACATCCTGGCATTGTGTCAGGCACGGAGTGGACAATTAAGACTTTTTTCTTAAACTGAGATCTACTGACTGAATGCCAGAAAGCATATGTAATATAATTCCAATTTTATCCCAGGTACTGTCATTTTTGCTCTTCAGTTTTCCTTGCCTGTAAAATTAAAGTTTCATGGAAGGAGTCTTGTAGAGGATGAGCAGGTAAATGAATAAGTAGAGTGATTCTTTTGGCATTAATAGGTTCTTTTGTTTTGGCATTACTTAAGTTACATGATTCTCAGGAGGAAAAAGTATTTTCCCTCTAAGTGTCTGTTTTCCCTTGAATTTGGAGAGAAGTATGGCGTTAGTAGTACTTATGAAGGTCAGGAAGAAAGTTGAAATTGAAGGTTGACGGTAACTACAAATAAAACTAGACTGACTGCTTTCCACTGGGAACTCTCGTTTCTCATTCTTAGATCTTCCCTTAATCCCTCCTGCTACCAGCATCCTCCATAGCGGAGAAAGAAAACAATTCTACATGACCTGATTCCTCTTACTTATCTTTCATTAAATATTTTTATTATGACCGGGAGTCAACAAATTGAAAGACACCTAAAGCTGAGGTTTCTTTGGGTAAAGTGTAACCATTATTTGTTGTTTCTACTTTGAATGGCGGGTGTTGAGAATTCAAGGAACTATGAAGAAGGGAAGGTCGTGCTCAAGAAAGCGTGTGCATCTGGAAAGGAAAGGATGTGTGGGCTGAGGAGGCTAAATGAGAAGTGAAAGGGAATGCAGAACAGAACTGCCCACTAATCTCACAGCTGTGGAGGGGAATGGCACGTCTTAGTAGCATAGTTGTGCTGGGGATGCCCTTCCAAACAGCCAGCACCCTCTCCACCCGCATTTAACATCATGAAATGGGATTGAATGGGATTGTAGGGTTGAGTCTTAGGAAAACTTGGGGCATCAGCAAGGGTAGGTGCTACATGAAGCCTAGGATAGCTTGGGATGGTAAATAGTCGTGAAACAGAGAGCAAAGTATTTCTTGTCTACACTGGATGACAATGTGAATCAAGTTGATTGTTCCCTCTAATTTTATTCCTAGACTATTTTGGTGACTCTGGGGGAATCAGGGCTTCTCAGAGATAGGATCCTTGCACTAGGATTAAGAACAGAATTTGATGTAAATAGTTATGACTTAACTGGACAAATGAATAGATGAATATACACAAAATCCCTACTGAAAAACTCTTTCCCTGTGACTTATTACTCAAAGTGATGCCATTAAAGCTTTAAAAAGAACCACGAAGCTCAGAAATACACCCACAAAGACTACACTGTCCTGTCTGTGCACATTTATCTCTCTCCCTTTACTCCTCCTCACTCGCTCTGCTTCTCTTCATATTGTTCTGCTCATTAAATCAAATACAGGCCTGTAGGAACTATATTCGGAATTGCTAGAAAATCAAGCATGGAGCAAATGGAAGAGATTGACATTCTTTAAAACCTCTGATCAATGTCCATGAAGCTCATCTGAATGTCTTTCAAATCGCTAGTTCGGGCACTCTTGTCTCTAGCTTCTCTTGTGTACCCAGTACCAACAGCCCGAAACTACAGCTGCCCACACTCCTTCCTTAGAAACATTCAGTCATCAGATGGCCCCCTTATCACACCTGGAAAAGAGCTTTGAATTTAGGGCACCTGGGTTCAGATTCTTTCTTTGAAACTTTCGGACTGTTTAGACTGCTCTCCAAGTTTTAAGATCGGGTGAGTTAAACTGGGCAGAGCCTATTGAACATTCCCTGGAGCATGGTAGATGCTTAAAATATCAGAATTATTCAACCTTTTACTCTG